TCCTGCGTACCCATCCTTGAGCATTACCCAGAATTGGGCTTGAGGAGCCGTATCTCACGTGCAGAGGGTCGGTGCCTGTGCTGCTGGGATGGAGGAGGGTGTACATAGACACGGACGTGTGGTTCTCTGTAAATGTGTTGTACAGTTGGAGTGCCAAGTACATTAAACTCCTGAGAGCCTCGCGCCTGCCTCGACTCAGTCACTGCCGGGGAGGGACGTGCTTAGGGCTCTGCTGCACACGGAGTGCCTGCCCCATCCCTGGCACTGTTCAAGGATGGGGCTTGGAGCAAGCTGCTCCAGTGGAAGGTGTCCCTGCCAATGGCAGGGGGTTGGAACTGGATGAGCTTTAAGGTCCTTTCCAACCCAAACCATTCCATGGCACCAGGTGGTTACAGCTCAGCGAGCGGTGCGAGCAGCCACCACCCCTGTAGAACAGGGCTCTGCTGCCTGACTCACTGCAGCTCCTGCAGCACCCTCCTCCCTTTCTGGGGGAGAAGGGAGCGGTGCGGATACTCCTTGTTCTCCTGGGGCACTGAAACCTCCTTGCCCTGGGAAACAAACCACTCCCCGCTTTGCAGGTAGAAATCCTCCTGGATCGACCTTCAGCCTCGGCACAAAGGGGGCTCCCCTCTGCTGGGACAGCTTCTGGGGAGCACCCGGTTATCAGCACCACAGTAACCCCATCAGCTCTCCCAAGAAGCTGCTGCCTGATCACGTAGTGGGGTGTTTGGGCACGGCAGCAGCTCCTGGATGGAGCCCCATGTCCATTCCTTCATTTCCCAGGCTCCCCACTGCATCCCAGTGCCCAGGGAAGGCCCAGCTCGGGCTGCAGGGATGGAGTTTGAGGCTGAGCTTTGAGCTGGAGGAGCCTCAGCCCTGTCCAAGCAGGGAGAAACTGGAAAAAAGCCTGGAAGAAACAACCCAGGCATTAGGGAGCACGCGGCTCATCCCAACTGGAGAGGAAATCCTGCGGAGCGCCTGCTTACCCTCATGTGCGTCAGGCCGGGGCTCAGCCTTTGTCTCGTCATCCAGTAGCCAGCAGCAGATCAGCCAAAAACCTGATTTCCCCCTAAAAGTCAGTTCCCCCCCCCCCGCCCCGCCCTATCTGCCGGTGGTTCCTATCCCAGCTTGTCCCTCCGGCAGGAATGTGCAGCCCGCAGCCACCTCCTCAGCTCTAGACTAAACAAGACGGGTTTTCCTGGTTCCTCCCATGCTGAACTCCAGACCTACAACTGCTGAGCCAAGACCCCCCATCCCGTGGTGGTGGGGGGGGACCCGGGATGCAGAGGGGGGAAATTCCCAAGGGAAGAGAGGGGAAATTCCTGAAGGCCAAGAGGGAACTGGTCCCCACTGAGCCCCTATGGCCTTGGTTGCAGCAGCATCCCTGCTGTGTCCAAAGGTGTCCAAAGGGAAAGGGAAGGTGCCTGTACCCAGGGGACGTGTGGGCACCTCCACCTTGGGTAAGCAGCTCCCTGGACCCATATTTACCTTTAGGGATCCCCACCCAGGCGGGGTGCTACGTGTGGGATGGAGCCAACACCTCCCAGGTTGTAGGTGCGACTGGCCTGGAGCTGGGATAGAGTGGGGTGAATCCCTCTTCCAACCACAGTGGGAAAGGCCCAAAAGTGGGATTGGGGTCCCTTTGCTTGGCCTGGAATAGCCTGGCATTAGGAGCTGCCCAGTTCTGGCAATGGGTGCTGGTCATGGGGAGGTGATGGGTGCTGGCAATGGGTGCTGGGCATGGGGAAGTGATGGGTGCTGGCAATGGGTGCTGGGCATGGGGAGGTGATGGGTGCTGGCAATGGGTGCTGGTCATGGGGAGGTGATGAGTGCTGGCAATGGGTGCTGGGCATGGGGAGGTGATGGGTGCTGGCAATAGGTGCAGGGCATGGGGAGGTGATGGGTGCTGGCAATGGGTGCAGGGCATGGGGAGGTGATGGGTGCTGGCAATGGGTGCTGGGCATGGGGAGGTGATGGGTGCTGGCAATGGGTGCAGATCATGGGGAGGTGATGAGTGCTGGCAATGGGGAAGCACATCTCCCAGCACCATCTTCGCTCAGCACCAAGGAGCACCCAGCACAGCTCAACCCCTTCACCCTTCCCCGAGGGACCCCAGGTCCCCCATCCCGCTTGCACACCCCCAGTTCACCCCCCAGCTTTGGAAACCTCCATTAAAACCACATCTAAAGCAACCCCCAAGCCACTGGATCCCAAACTTTACGGCCTGCTGTTCCCTGGAGACCCCCACGGCCGCCATGGGATTATTCCCAAGCTCAGCCTCTCCAACATCCCATTTTCCACATTAATCCTTACCGTGATTCGCGCCGTGGTTCCTCCCCATCCCCAGCACATCTGGGCCCCACGGAGGATCCTGATTTCCCGGTTTCCCTCTCCGCCTCCAACTTTCCCTTTTTTCCATGAATTCATCCACCTCCCCCCTCCTCCTTGTCTGCAAATGCAAACCCAGACGTCGCCGCGCACATCTGCACGCATCTGGGCTCGCCTCGAGGCGGGATAATCCAACTGGATGCATTAAACCATCTGGGTTGGGGGGGGGTTGTAGCCATTACCTGGATCAGGCTGCCCAAAGCCAGAACGGAGCAATCCCACCTGGAAAACACCACGTGAGGCTTCATCATTGGCTGCTTGCACCCTCCTTCGTCAAAGCATCACCCATCCACCTGGAAACATCCCGGGAATACGGGATGCCGAAGGAGGCGTCAGTGGTGGCTGCGTGCTCCTGCCGCCCGCTGTGGTGGCCTCACTGCATTCTAGTCCCATCCCAGGACCCAACTCGGGTGTCACCAGTAGGACTGGGCCAAAACATGGGACTGTATGGGATGATTGGAAGTTTGATTGGGTTCATTATCCTGCCATGGTAATGAGGGTGTTGTTAAGCGCACACACAATTAAGGGCTGGCTTGAGCTTCTCCCAAAGTAAACACAGGAGGCAATGGGTGCCGGTGATGGGGAGGGGATGGGTGCTGTTCATGGGGATATGATGGGTGCTGAGGATGTGGAGTTGGTGGGTGCTGGTGATAGGGAGGTGATGGATGGAGAGGTAATGGAGGGATAATGAGTGCTTGTGATGAGAAGGTGGCATGGAGGTGATGGGTGCTGGTCATGGGTAGATGATAGGGAGGTGACTGGGCTGGCAATGGGTGGTGGTCATGGGGAGGTGATGGAGGGATAATGGGTGCTGGTAATGAGGAGGTGATGTGTGCTCATGGGAGGCGATGGGTGCTGGCAATGGGGAGGCAATGGGAAAGCAAATCACTCAGCACCAGGGGCACCCAGCACAGCTCAACCCCTTCACCCTTACCCAAGTGACCCCGAGTCCCCCTCCCTCTCCCTTAGAGCTCAAACAACCCCCCCATAGCTTGAACGAACCCCCACGGCTTTGAGAACCCCCATTATCCATTGGTGTTCCCTTCTCCCAGCTGGCTCCCAGCCAGGCCCCTCCTGCCGGCTCCCTGCTCCTCTCCCCACGGCTCTTTCCCAGCATTTCTGATCCCATCTCCCTAAAGCTGGAGCAGAACGTGGGCAATGAGACAGACAACGTGGGAGCAGCTCCTTGCGCAAGAGGAGGTGCCGGGACCTCCCCTGCCCGCGAGGCTCTGCCTCTCACCAGACTGGTTCCAGCACAGCTCAGCCAATTCCTGCCGGGAACAGCAGTGATTTAATGCCCAGTGTTCTCCAGGTGACGTTCTCCTCAACCGCTCCCAGACCTCATCCCACCTGGAGGCCCCGTTTCCCACGTGTTCCTCAGTTGTCCCACGGTTGGGTTCTGCTTTGGGACCTTCTCTCTGAATGCCACAGATCTGATTCCTCACTGGGTTAAACTGGGGGAAACTGGTGCTGGTTTGGTGTAGCTGGGGAGGTCAGACTGTCTTCTGCTGTGGAGATGGGTCATCTGGTCCATGAGATCATTGGTGCAGCTGGTGAAGGTCACTTGACTGTTACAGGGACATAGGAAAGAGGGATGGATGATGGATGGATGGATGGATGGATGGATGGATGGATGGATGGATGGATGGATGGATGGATGATGGATGGATGGATGGATGGATGGATGGATGGATGATGGATGGATGGATGGATGGATGGATGGATGGATGGATGGATGGATGATGGATGGATGATGGATGGATGGATGATGGATGGATGGATGGATGGATGGATGGATGATGGATGGATGGATGGATGGATGGATGATGGATGGATGGATGGATGGATGGATGGATGGATGGATGGATGATGGATGGATGGATGGATGGATGGATGGATGATGGATGGATGGATGGATGATGGATGGATGGATGGGTAGATGGACAATTGGACAGAGAACCAACCCCCATCCTCTGTCCCTGCCCCCTCCTTGCTGTAATAGATGAGTAAAACAAGCGCAGCACATTACAATGAACCTCCCTCAGCCCCGGGGTTAACCCCTGTGTAACCAGGGCAGGACCCACGCCTCCTCTCCTGCACCGCCTCTTGCACCACCACATCGGCTGCCCCGGGGGGGGCCCTCAGGAGCCAGGGGAGCTGTCAGGGCTGACTCAAGTCTCCATCAGCACCGATCACGCTGGCTCTGGGCAGCCCGGCTCTGCCTGGACCTGCACAAGGGAAACCTCCCTCGGCAGCACTGCCAGCGCTGCCAGCATCACTACAGTGGCCCCGGGGTTGGGGACCCCTCTCAACCCCCCCTCCCCCCCATTCCCCAAGGATGGAGGCCAAACCGAAACTGCCTTAAAATAGCCCCAAACAGCGTGTACCCCCCTTCCACCATCACCCCGCCTCTCCCCGAAACCACAGGCAAGCCACAGCATGAATCCCTTCATTAGGAAGTTCGTTAGGAGCCAGCCCTATGGAATGCCACCCATGGAGCAAGCAGGACAGCAGCCGGTGTGGGCCAAAGGTGGTCCGGCACCCCAAAGCTCCTCTCCATGGGGGTCCGGCTGACCCATTCCCAACTGATCCCATAGCTTGGCCTCTCCCACACGCTCCAATCCTGCCTCCTCCTCCTCATCCGGGGAGCGGCCGCTCGGAGGGAGGAGGCTCCACGGCGTGCCGGGACAGCGCCGGGAGCAGGGAACGCCATGGCGGAGCGGCTGTCGGAGGAGCAGATCGCCGAGTTCAAGGAAGCTTTCTCCCTCTTTGACCGGGATGGGGACGGCTGCATCACCACCAAGGAGCTGGGCACCGTCATGCGGTCCCTGGGGCAGAACCCCACGGAGGCCGAGCTGCAGGACATGGTGGGAGAGGTGGATGCCGACGGCAGCGGCACCATCGACTTCCCCGAGTTCCTGTCGCTGATGGCGAGGAAGATGCGGGACACGGACAGCGAGGAGGAGATCCGGGAGGCTTTCCGCGTCTTCGATAAGGATGGCAACGGGTACATCAGCGCGGCGGAGCTGCGGCACGTCATGACCAACCTGGGCGAGAAGCTGACGGACGAGGAGGTGGATGAGATGATCAAGGAGGCCGACTGCAACAACGACGGGCAGGTCAACTACGAGGAGTTCGTGAGGATGATGACGGAGAAGTGAGATCCCACTGCCAGCAGCAACCTCCAGCCCCATCGCACAGGTAACGCGCTGGGATGCTGCTCCGTGCCCAATGAGGTGTCCATGGGAAGCCCTGGACCAGGGGGTCCATCCCGTCTATTGCGATGTCTTGCATCTTCCCCCATCCTGACCACCTCCTGCCCTGCAATTCATGCTGGTGGTTGGGAAAATCCATGTTTATGGTGCCCTTCTTCATGTTTTGCTTCGTTTTCTCACAGGGAACAGAGGTTTTGGTGGTCTCCCAACCTTTCCATCCCCTACTGCCTTCACTCCACCATCCAGGGCTGGAAAACCCTCTTCCATCACCAGCCTGTGCCTGCATTGGATGCAGGCATCCTCCCTGGCAGGATGGGGCTTGGGGAGCAGATGGACATGGGGGGGTCCCCATGGGATGCACCTCTTGTGTCTATAGAGGTTCTGGTGGACACCACACCAAGTCCAATAAAGAAATGTCCCCCCGTATCCCAGTGGCTGCCAGTGCTTCATTCAGCTTCAGTTTGGGGTCCCAGCTGAAAAGAACCCCCCAAATCACTGACTCAATGCATCCAGGCCCCACATCACCTCCATCCTCTCCCCTCCCCCCCATCCTTTTCTTCCCACAAGCAGAAAAGTTGCTCCTAATGGGTGCTTGTTGCAACCCCCAAGTTACGAGCATCCCCACCCCAAATCCCACCACTTTTGGGGTCTCCTCTCTGCACCATCATGGTGTCGGGGCCCTTTTCTCTCCCTCCACCCCACAAGCTAAGAGGAGAAGCTTCCAGCTGGATTTAGCCCTAATCCCCATCCCAAAGAGCAGGATCCGGGTCTCCCGGCTGTAACCACCCCGTGACTCAGTTTCCCTATGAAGAGAGGGAAACCCGATTGCAGGAGCTCCCCCAGCCCCAAGCATGGAGGCTTTGAATGAAGACCAACTGTAATGGCCCTGACTGGTGCTCAGTCACTAATGGGGCGGTGGCAGCAGGACACATGAGCAGGGCATGGCTCTGGGATGTCCAAGCCACCACAAGGCTTCACCGCTCCTCCTCCAGCCCATCCCTTGGGATCTTTGGCAATCCCGGCTGTTTTCCCGGTGCTGGGAAAGCCGGGCAGGTGCCTGCACGCCACAGCTCCACCCCAGCCCACAGCACAGCGCCTTCACCCATAGCACAGAGCCTTCACCCATAGCACAGAGCCTTCACCCATAGCACAGAGCCTTCACCCATAGCAGAGCCTTCACCCATATCACAGAGCCTTCACCCATAGCACAGAGCCTTCACCCATAGCACAGAGCCTTCATCCATAGCACAGAGCCTTCACCCATAGCACAGCACCTTCACCAATAGCACAGCACCTTCACCCATAGCACAGAGCCTTCACCCATAGCACAGAGCCTTCACCAATAGCACAGCACCTTCACCCATAGCACAGAGCCTTCACCCATAGCACAGCACCTTCACCCATAGCACAGCACCTTCACCAATAGCACAGAGCCTTCACCCATAGCACAGAGCCTTCACCCATAGCACAGCACCTTCACCAATAGCACAGAGCCTTCACCCATAGCACAGCACCTTCACCCATAGCACAGCACCTTCACCCATAGCACAGAGCCTTCACCCATAGCACAGAGCCTTCACCCATAGCACAGCACCTTCACCAATAGCACAGAGCCTTCACCCATAGCACAGCACCTTCACCAATAGCACAGCACCTTCACCCATAGCACAGAGCCTTCACCCATAGCACAGAGCCTTCACCAATAGCACAGCACCTTCACCCATAGCACAGAGCCTTCAGCCATAGCACAGCACCTTCACCCATAGCACAGCACCTTCACCAATAGCACAGAGCCTTCACCCATAGCACAGCACCTTCACCCATAGCACAGAGCCTTCACCCATAGCACAGCACCTTCACCCACAGCACAGCACCTTCACCCATAGCACAGAGCCTTCACCCATAGCACAGCACCTTCACCCATAGCACAGAGCCTTCACCCATAGCAGAGCCTTCACCCATAGCACAGCACCTTCACCAATAGCACAGCACCTTCACCAATAGCACAGAGCATTCACCCATAGCACAGCACCTTCACCCATAGCACAGCACCTTCACCCATAGCACAGCGCCTTCACCCATAGCACAGCGCCTTCACCCATAGCAGAGCCTTCACCCATAGCACAGCACCTTCACCAATAGCACAGAGCCTTCACCCATAGCACAGAGCCTTCACCCATAGCACAGCACCTTCACCCATAGCACAGCACCTTCACCCATAGCACAGAGCCTTCACCCATAGCACAGCACCTTCACCCATAGCACAGAGCCTTCACCCATAGCACAGAGCCTTCACCCATAGCACAGAGCCTTCACCCATAGCACAGCACCTTCACCCATAGCACAGCGCCTTCACCCATAGCACAGAGCCTTCACCCATAGCACAGAGCCTTCACCCATAGCACAGAGCCTTCACCCATAGCACAGCACCTTCACCAATAGCACAGCACCTTCACCCATAGCACAGAGCCTTCACCCATAGCACAGCACCTTCACCCATAGCACAGCACCTTCACCCATAGCACAGAGCCTTCACCCATAGCACAGCACCTTCATCCATAGCACAGCACCTTCACCCATAGCACAGAGCATTCACCCATAGCACAGCACCTTCACCCATAGCACAGCACCTTCACCAATAGCACAGAGCCTTCACCCATAGCACAGGGCCTTCACCCATAGCACAGAGCCTTCACCCATAGCACAGCACCTTCACCCATAGCACAGCACCTTCACCCATAGCACAGAGCATTCACCCATAGCACAGCACCTTCACCCATAGCACAGAGCCTTCACCAATAGCACAGCACCTTCACCCATAGCACAGCACCTTCACCCATAGCACAGAGCCTTCACCCATAGCACAGCGCCTTCACCCATAGCACAGCACCTTCACCCATAGCACAGAGCCTTCACCCATAGCACAGAGCCTTCACCCATAGCACAGAGCCTTCACCCATAGCACAGCACCTTCACCAATAGCACAGCACCTTCATCCATAGCACAGAGCCTTCACCCATAGCACAGAGCCTTCACCCATAGCACAGCACCTTCACCAATAGCACAGAGCCTTCACCCATAGCACAGCACCTTCATCCATAGCACAGAGCCTTCACCCATAGCACAGAGCCTTCACCCATAGCACAGCACCTTCACCCATAGCACAGCACCTTCACCCATAGCACAGAGCCTTCACCCATAGCACAGCACCTTCACCCATAGCACAGAGCCTTCACCCATAGCACAGCACCTTCACCAATAGCACAGCGCCTTCACCAATAGCACAGAGCATTCACCCATAGCACAGCACCTTCACCAATAGCACAGAGCCTTCACCCATAGCACAGCACCTTCACCAATAGCACAGAGCCTTCACCCATAGCACAGCGCCTTCACCCATAGCACAGCACCTTCACCCATAGCACAGCACCTTCACCCATAGCACAGCACCTTCACCCATAGCACAGCGCCTTCACCCATAGCACAGAGCCTTCACCCATAGCACAGAGCCTTCACCCATAGCACAGAGCCTTCACCCATAGCACAGCACCTTCACCAATAGCACAGCACCTTCACCCATAGCACAGAGCCTTCACCCATAGCACAGCACCTTCACCCATAGCACAGAGCCTTCACCCATAGCACAGAGCCTTCACCCATAGCACAGCACCTTCACCCATAGCACAGCACCTTCACCCATAGCACAGCACCTTCACCCATAGCACAGAGCCTTCACCCATAGCACAGCACCCAGGGCCTTCACCCACGTGCTGGCCTCTTGCTCGCACACCCAACGCCCTGCAGCTCCATAGGGGACAACAGTGGAGCAAAGCCCAGGCGAAAGGGCCCCGAACCCAGTTAAACCAAGGCCAGGGGTCACTCCAGGTTGCTGAATCCGAGTCCCTAAATACACAGTTCCCAAGATGTGATTCCTTGTTAATGCCGTGTCTAAGCACAAACCCAAACCTGCTATTTTTGGCTTTGACCTTTTCTCCTTCTATTCTGGGCTTGTTTAATTAATGGAGTGTTTCCTTCACACCGCTTGGCCTGAGCTGGGTTTGTTTCATCATGGAATCACGGAACGGTTTGGGTTGGAAGGGACCTTAAAGCTCATCCAGCCCCAACCCCTGCCACGGGCAGGGACACCTTCCATAGAGCAGCTTGCTCCAAGCCCCGGTGCTTCTCTGAGCACCCTGTTCTCACCCCAATGTTCTCAGCCTGTCTCCATAGAGGAGGTGCTCCAGCCCCTGAGCATCCTCGTGGCCTCCTCTGGACTCGCTCCAGCAGCTCCATGTCCTCCTTATGGACCCCAGAACTGCGCAGCTCATGGACATCACCCCTAATGTAGGACCAGAGATGCTGCTGCTGAATCAGGCCCAAATTCTCCCCATTTCCTGTTATTTCAGGAATTCTGAACTTAGGGACTTAAGTTGGGAATGCTGGGACATTTTGATAGCATCTCAACAGCAGGGCTTTAAAACACGTTAACTAAACACTGAGGAAACAAGACTGAGACCCCCCCCAGGAGGGGCCAAGGAACTTTTCGGAGCCCTCCAACAGGATATGGAAAAGAAGGGCAGGATTTTTCCCTATTTCCCCCCTCTCCCACAGCTCTCCAAGGCCACAGTTCCCTGGCTCCTCCCTGGCAATAACTGTGCCCTTAAGCACACATGATGTATTGCCTGGGAAGTGTCCCTGTACACTGGAAGAGGAGGCCCATCCACACCCCGCTTCCATAGGAAAAGTGGGAAAAAGGGATTTTGAAGTGGGATTGATGCAGGTTGGTGGCATGAAGGGTTGGGAGGTACCATACAGGAGAGTTGCACCAAACCAGGTTCAGCACAGGGGGATAAAGAACTAAACAGACACACACACACCCCCCCCAAACCCCTTTCCAACTACATCTCCCCACTGTTCAGTTTGGTGGGAGCTGTTTCCTTTCCGTGGGGTGATTTTTAACCTGTTTTAAGTGTTTTTCTCACTGATTTCCCACTTTCAGGTTATTTGTGGAAGAAAAAAATCCAAAAGAAAGCAAAAGAAAAAACCAAAAGAAGTCACAAATCACCCCAGAACCAGGTGCAGGCCGTGGGGCTCTATGAGCCACAGTGCCCGGGCATGGCCAAGGTGATGCTGAATGGAGCAGTTTGGTGCCAGATCCAGCTTCTAAGCATGAGGTTGCACCAGTTGGGGCATTGCTTTGGGGCAAAGAGATTTGAGCACTGGAGCAATTGGTTTTACCCCTTTTCCTTTGACATCAGCCCCTCTGTC